GGCCCGGCCCCGCTGCTGTGCCCCGGGGGGCCCTGCCGGCACCCTAGCTCCCACTGCCCTTCCTCCTCTTCCTCCTCCTCCTCTGTCCCTGCAGGACCCGGTTCCGTGGTGAAGATGTTCTCATAGAGATGCTCCGGGAGCGGCTTCCCTGGGGTCCAGGGCTCATTGGGACCCAGCTGCCCTGGCCCAAAGAGGGGCTGCTGGCCCCGGGCGATGGAGGCATAGACAATGGGGCCTGTGGCCTCCGGCTCCGTCGGGCCTCGAAGGAGAAGATGGTCTGCGGGGCCAGAGGGCAGGGTGAGGGGCTGGTTCCTGCTCTGAGCAGCCAGCAGCCCCAGGGAGGGGGGGAGGCACACACCTGATCCTGGCCAAACTTGCGGAGGAAGGGGTAGGGCCACGTGAGTAGGGGCTGGGGGGGCTGCGGCCAGCAGCCCCAGGGAGGGGGGGAGGCACACACCTGATCCTGGCCAAACTTGCGGAGGAAGGGGTAGGGCCACGTGAGTAGGGGCTGGCGGGACTGCGGGTCCTTCAGCACCAGGCTCTGGGGAAGGGCCGAGAGCAGGTAGTGCCCATGCAGGCCACAGCGGGTGGACGCATCCGTCTGGACCACCAGCACCAGGAATTCAGTCACTATGGGAGCAAAGCAAGGTAGGAGTCAGCACTATGCCACTGAGCCAGAGCCCACCCCGGCCCCATCTGCCACCCCTGCACATACGGTCCTGCCAGGAGGAGTAGAGGGAGTTCTCCTCCATGGGGATAGCAAGGCTGGGCTGGTTTCTGGCACTGCTCTGCACTGTGTCCTTTGCACCCTGAAACAGAGGGATGTGAGTGCGGCCCCATCTAGACCAGGGGGAGCGCAAGCCCCCCTGCCTGCCCACGCACCCTGCTGCCCTGGATCACCCGAGCCAGGAGTAGCGTGAGGGGTGCCGGCTATACCAGACCCCGCAGTACCTGGAAGGCCAGCTGGCAGAGCTGGGCGATCCACTCATCCCGCTGCTCAGCTGCCAGCACGTAGCTCTTTTCTGTGGTGGTGAGGTAGAAGGCAGCAGTGGCTTTGGGGCAGCTCTCAATGCCTGCTGGGCCCACGGAGACACAGTCTGAGAGGCGGATCACCCGACGGGCACACCGCCGCAGCGAGTTTTTCTCCAGCGCCGTGCCATCATCCCGCACATCGAACTTCTCCATGCGGGCCACGCCAGAGGGGCTGGCGGCAAAGAGCTGGGCTCGCATCTTCCTCCAGGACCTCTGCAATGTGGGAAGGGTGCAGGCAGGGGGAAAAAAACAAACAAACAAACAAAAAGGGTCAGCAAAGAGCTGCCTACTATGTCCTCGCGGCACTGCCCTCCACGCAGGGCCAGCAATGCTTGGGAAGAGCTGTGCGGGGCAGGAGGGGGCACAGGGGGTCCCTGCCCACACACGCCGTGTGCTGCAGGAGGGCATGGAGAGCCAGGGCCAGCACAGACCCCCGGGGCTGCGGTGAAGGGAAGTCCCAAAGCTGGGTCTAGGGCCCCGGGTGAGCTCGGCATGGCTTGCTGGGTGAGTCACGCTTGCTCCCGGCTCGCCAAGCACCAGGTCCTGCTCTTTGTTCCCCGCTGCAAGTGCCGGCCTGCCGCTGCCGCAGCTGAGCTCTTGAGCTGTTCTCAGGACAGACCCTGATGCAAATTAAAGCCATTTTGAGCTGCTGAGGCTCCTGCTAGCAGCCTCACATCTGCTGAGCATGGCCAGACCCTGCAGCTCGCAGCTCGCTTCCTCCCAGGGGAGGCTCTGTGGCAGCAGTACCTTCCCAGACCGTCATGGGATAGAGGGGGCACTTGCCCCCACGCACCTCAAAAGCGCAGCAGAACCTCCGCCCTGCAGAAACCAGATGCAGCCAAGCACCTAGAACACCCACTGTCACCAGCCCACCTGCCTCCTACGCAGCAGAACACCGGCCCCGTGCACGCAGGGCCTGCCCATTCCAGAACTTGGCTCTCACTCAGCGGGGACATCGGAGCGCAACCGCAGCCTGGCACATGCATCAAGTCCCCTGTGGGGGCACAGCTGCCCTGCTGTGGCAGAGGAGATGCCACCAAGGCCAGGCCAGCGCACCAGTAGGACCTGCATCACCAACACCCACCTCACAGCTCCCCAGAGCTGGCTCAACACTGCGGGGACTCCTACCATGTCACCCATACCGTGCCCGGAGGGCTGTGGCACTCGGTGCCCACCCCAAGGGCCCCAGGGCAGCGGGCCAAGCCACGAGGGGTGCCCCACGGGTGGCGCTGGCACCCCCAGGCCAGGCTCGTGGAGGGCTGGGTGCAGAGCCATGTCCCAAGTGCTGCCCCAGTGCCCCGCTCCCACACACACACTGGAGCTGCGCCTCATTAACACGCATTTATTGTTCCATTGCGCATCGCGTGGTGACCAAGCGAGAAGAAGGACCCTGCCCGCAGGGGCAAGCGTGAGCAGGTGCCTGTACGGATGAGTCCCCTTGGCATCAGGGAGAGCCCCTGGCGCAGCACCAAGGGGTCTGGCTTCAGTCCCCCCTCCCTAGGCTGCTGAGGGCCCGGCTCCAGGCCTGTTGTCAAGACAGATCAGGGCAAACCCTCTACCAGCCCCACATCCAGCATTTACCTTTCCAAATTTGCAGTGCTGCACATAGAGGATCCCATCCTTCACCGGTCTCTCCATGGGCCCAGCGCTGCCCTGGCAGCCAGCGCAAAGATCAGGGACCAGCAGCAGAGAAAATGTGACTGCTGCAGCCGAAGCAACTGCATGGGGCAGACTTCCTTTCTCAGCGACTTCCCCTTTTTGGTGTGTGGGATGAGAGGCAGAGGCTGGGCCACAGGAGGTGTCCGTCTGTCCGCCCTCCCCCTCGCAGAGGGGCAGTGGGGCAGAACGCACACAAGGCAGAGCACAGGAAGCATCAAGGGGACCGCCCGACATGAGCACAGCACACTCCACCTTTCCCCGGCTGCATCAGAGCATGTTTGGGGAACAGCCACTGGCTGAGGATGCACAAAACCAGGTAAGGGGGATGGTCCTGGAGGAATCGAGGGGCTTTGGAGAGGAGAGACTCAAGACCCTGGCCGTGCCACTGCAGGGGGCTGGCAGGGGCAGCGGGCAGCCAGCCACAGACCAGTCTCCCCACCTGGGGCTTCCTCCTCCCCTCAGGCACCGCTGCCTGCTTGCCCAACGCGCCGCTGACGTAACGAGCTGTTGCAGCACAGGTCCGTGTGTTTCCTCCTGGAGCAGGAGCTTCATCAGGCTGAGCTGATAACAGTCCCAGTGGCCAAAGGCCTGGGAAACGAGCCACAGCAGTGCAGGGTAGGCCCCTCGGCTTGGGAAAGGTGGGGGCAGCTGGGGCACTGCCTTGGCTGAAGAGGAAGCAAGGCCCGTGCAGGGGAGTGCTGGGCAGCATGCTCCCCAGGCTAGAAGTCCATAGAGCTGTGGGCCAGGTAATCCTTGCGGCCAATGTTGCTGACTTGCTTGGTCTGCATCGCCTCCAGCTTGGGGCAGTCAGTGATGCGATGGCCCAGGCCGCCGCAGAAGGCGCAGCCCCGCTCGCCTGCCATGGGGGGGGGAAAGGTGGTCCTGTCTGCAGCCCAGGTTCCTCAACAGCCCTGCGGGAGGTCCCTGTGCCAGCCCAGGGTCTCTTACCTCCGATGTCCAGCATGGTCTCATCCCCACAGTGCAGCACCTGGAGCACAGGCGGCACCTTCTGCTTCGCCTCCAGGAGCAGAGCCTTCAGGTCCATCAGCACCGACTCATCTGGAGGGGGCAGAGACATGGATCAGACGCAGCCCGAGTAGGGGTGGGGGGCACTGCCTCACACCACCATCTCCCCTGCAGGGGCCACCACAACTCATCCCTGCTTGCTCAGGAACCAGCCTCCTTGCCAAGGCAGAGGCAGCTCCATCACCCAGCTGCCTCCTACAGCCACAGCCCCTCCGCAGGCAGCCCCCAGCCCCACGCCATTTCTCACCGCAGGCCTTGTTGATGAAGGTGGTGGCAATGCCAGTGTTGCCTGAGCGGCCTGTACGCCCAATACGGTGAACTGTGGAGAAAGAGACAGGATCAGGCCCAGGTGAATGCAACGTGACAGATCATTCCTGCCCCCAGCCACTGCAGAGCCTCGCTGGCCTCTGCACCCACCCCACTGCATCCTCCTTGGTCCCCCATGGGGCCCAGTCCCCACCATAGTTCTCAATCTCCTCAGGCATGTCGTAGTTGATGACATGCTGGATGGCTGGGAAGTCCAGGCCCTTGGAAGCGACGTCAGTGGCAACCAGGACATCCTTCTTCCCATCCCGGAAGGCCTCAATGGCTTTTGTCCGTTCCTCCTGATCTGCAAAAGCCCAGAAGAGAAGATCAGCAAGGGCAGAGCTCCCAGTCCTACCTCTTATGACAACCACTATGGCCTCGAAGACGAGCATCGCTCCACCGGGACTCCCCAGTGAGAGGACCTACACTGCCTTTCTCCAAATAAAGAAGCAGAGGGACCTCTAAGTCCCACAGGGACCTGTGCTGTGTTTATGCCTGCTATATACAACGTGATGTTTGCTCCCAACACTGCCACAGCCCTTCCTCACTCCATCACAAACTGCTGTATGCTGGGACCTCCCGTGGCCACGTACCACCCTGGCAGGAGCAGGGTCCGGCAGGGCCACACTGCGGCCCAGGCCTCCCCAACTCCCTCACTGACCTTTCCCTCCATGGATGGCCACAGCTTCCACACCCTTCAGCAGCAGGTACTCGTGGATTGCATCGACATCCGCCTTCTTCTCTGCAAAGATCAGCACCTGCAGCAGCACAGATATCATGGAAGAGCTGCCTTTCTGCGGGCTGGCACCAGCACAACCCCCCAGGAAACCCATCCCCTCTCACTGAGCAAAACACACAACAGCTCTGGGCTCAGGACCGGCTCATACATGGAGCACAGCTCACTTGCACGCCCACCCTACCCATGGCAGATCCCTGCAGCATCACGGCTGCATCCCTATTGCCAGCTCTACCCGTGTGCCGGGGGCTGCAGTGTGCCTGTGCTGCTCCCAGCCATGCTGCCAGAGCAGCCGGAGCTCACTACTCACAGGTGGTGGGGTCTTCTGCAGGCACTCAAGGAGATACACCATTTTAGCCTCTTCTTTCACATACTCCACTTCCTGGAACAAGCAGACAAATGAGTCAGGCAGGCAGCAGAGAAACTGCCATTGCTTGGTATCCCTTAACCTCTCAGGAAGGAGGGCCATGAACCCCAGATCCTTGACAAGGGATGCATCAAGCACCCTCATGAACAGTGCTGGCCTCCCACACAAGCATGGGGGAGCACCCAACTACCTCACCTGCACAACATCCAGGCTGGCAGCACCTGCTCGCCCGACATTAATGGTGATGGGCTTCACCAGGGCACTCTTGGCAAAGTTCTGGATCTTCTTGGGCATTGTGGCACTGAAGAGGAGGGTCTGTCGCTGGCCCTGTGAGGGGAACACAGCATGGGCAAGGATTTAGCACTCACCCAAGCAGGTAGGTGCAGGGATTGAGGGTGCTCATGTCATGCCAGCTCAGTACCTTGAAGTAGGAAAAGATGGTACGGATGTCACCCTCAAAGCCCATATCAATCATCCTGTCAGCCTCATCCAAGGCCAAGTAACGGCAGATGTCCAGGCTCACCATCTTCTTCTGCAGCAGGTCCATCAGGCGGCCAGGGGTTGCCACCATCATGTGCACACCACTGCGGGACGAGAGAAGGCCACAGTCAGGCATTCAGATTCCTGCCCCACACAGCGAGGCATAGGGATAGTAACGCCAGCTTGGCATGTCCCCTTCACCCCCACACCAAAGCCAGCCAGCCTTAGCCCCCTGCCAGAAAACACAGCCCCACACCCCCTCCCCCAGGAGGCCTTACTGTTTGATTGTCTCCATCTGCTCCTTAACAGACATGCCCCCGATGCAGAGGGCGCAGCGCAGTGGGGGCAGGCTGTCCTCCTGCAGCAGGCGGCAGTAGTACTCAATGATGCCGTGGGTCTGCCGGGCCAGCTCCCGCTGCAGAGACAAAACTTACTCGTTCCTACGCCTCTGTGCAGGGAAGATCCAGGGTTGCCACTGAATATCAATCACAGCTTCCTCCCCTGCATCACCATGCCCCTGGCACTTACTGACGGACAGATGATGAGTCCGTAGGGTCCCTCTCGCTTTGAAAATGGCAGCCTCTTCTCCTGCTCCAGGCAGAACATGATCACCGGGAGGGTGAACACCAAGGTCTTCCCAGAGCCAGTGAATGCAATGCCAATCATGTCCCTTCCTGAGAGGCTGGTAGAGAAATGGGGCCAATGGTGAGGAGGAGCATGACAGAACAGCTCAGACCTCCAGGGCTGAGCAAAGTGACGGGGCACATCTGCCACCAGGGAAGAGCAGCCGGCATGCACCCCTGGGTGGGCTGTAGGGAGAAACAGCTCCCTGCTCTGGGACAGGGACAGAGCACTCACATTGTGGGGATGCCTTGGATCTGTATGGGTGTTGGCTGCTGGATTCCTTTTTTCTTCAGCCCCCTCAGGATAGCTGTCAAGAGAACAAGGGACACATCACGTGATGACCTGAAGTCATCTCCCTTTTTCTCTTCTACTCATGTCTCAGCAGCAGCTCTTCCATCAGTGGAAAACAGCCCTTAGGCCAGTAGTGAGGTGACACAGCCACTCTTGGGAATTTACACTGTGACCCCACTAACACTATGCATTAAAGATCTGACAGCTTCGCTCGCTGACACACATTTCCCAGAAGAACGCTGTTCCCCACCCTGCCAGGCCCTCTCCCGGCCCACCTGCTGGAAACTTCATCTCCTTGAAGGTCTTGATGGGGGGCGGGATGCCTTCCCCCTCCACCAGGATGTGGTACTTCTTGCGTACGCGATCGTGCCGTGCCTCCGACATGCCCAGGATGTAACGAGGTGCTCTCCAGCTGCGAAGGCAACACAGAAAAATTGTGGTGCAAAATGAGACTGGGGCTCCAGAGGCAGCAGCCCCCACAGAGGCCCAGGGGAACTCCCTGTCTGGCTTTGCTGTTCCACCAGGGAGAACAGGTTAACTCCAAGGGGCTTCATGGTGTGAGCACAGGAGTAGATCCACACCAGTTCCACACATTTCCCCAGCGTCTCAGTAAGACGTCCGAAGCTAACAGCTGCGAACAGCCTCTGGATGGTGGACAGCACATGCCAGAATCTTTTGGACACATCTCTATCATCTCTCTGACACTGCCTTGAGCAGCGCTGGCTCCATAGGCTCCCCCAGTCTCTTTCTCTAGCTTAGTCACCTCCAAGATCTGAAGATCCACCTTAAGTCTTCAAGTTTAACATAAACATACTCTAGAAAATCTTAACTGTATATAAATTAATGTTCAAGGTGAGTCAGCAGCCTTCAGTCTTACATAAGAAGCCAGACAGTGGAGCAAGCGAGAAGGAAGTGGCCACAGAGCAGCACTCCTCCGGTGGGGCTGCATGGCTTCTAGTTCTCTTCAGCTGGGAGGAAGCAGTGTTTTCAGCAAGACAACCACTGTAGTACTGTGAAACGCACCTGGTTTTAATCGGATCATCGTAGGTGATGCCCTTTGCCATCTCCTTCACTGACATCAAAGCTGCAAGAACAAAGCAATGGGATCAGCGCAAGCTCCCCATCTCCAGATGCACTTAACCTCAGGAGAGAACTTCTCAGGCAAATAGTTTGGGTGACTGTGCCCAGAGACGGAGGAGGAAAAGCAGCACCCCTGACAGACCTCTGGGTACAGGAACACCAAACACTGCAGCCTGATGTGTCTCAGGGCTGGCCACAGCACCACCTCAGCTAAGCCAGGGCAGCTTAGATGCTGACTGGAGGACCCTGTTGTGATCTCCTGTCCCATCCCAGGTGTGAACATCCCCAAGTGCTGCAAGGCAGGCAACACCCCTACCGCTGCCCTGACAGCTCTGGATACAGGCCTGGGAGACACGGAGCTCCCACCACTCACCTCGGCCCTCTGCCACGCTCTCCAGGATCTTCTCTTCCTCCTTCAGCTGCTTCTCCTTGGCTGACTCCTTCCGAGCTGAGGGGAGAGTCAGAAAGCAATGAGGAAGTTTCAGTCCCTGACGAAAGCCACCCGTTCCTACCACCAGCTGTTCTCCTACCTTCCGCCTTCTCTTTGAGGTGCTGGTGCTGGTCCAGGAGGCTGACGTTGGACTGGGGCCCCAGGGGGATATCATCCTCGTCACCCCGCTGCTCGCTCCCGCTGTCCCGCTGCTCCTCCTCTGACACCACCTTCCGCCGCATCTGGAGCAGCTTCTGCAGCTGGAAGGAAGCAGGTGGAGGTGGAGCGAGAGGCCTCGCGTCGGGAGGGACGTTCAGAGCCCTCCCCCGCCAGCGCCGGGCCCCGTTACTCCGTTACCATCTGCTGCTTGCGCTGCTTGACGGGCACGTAGGGCACATAGTCGTCATCGTCCTCCCCGGACAAGTCGGACGTTTCTGCC